TGCCTGCAGGACACACAAAAGGACTGACGTTCATGAAGTAGATTGTTGTTTTGTCCAGACTCCTTGTGTGTTACATGCGACAGTTTAGATTGACGTGACTTTTCTCTGTTTTAAGAGGAGTGGATGAATACGAACGTGTATGTTCAGGTCCCTTCCCTGAAATTGCAGGTTTTCTGAGGAAAAATGTGTACAAGTTTTGTACATAAGATGGAGATCCACTAATTCAGCAGTTCTGTGTGATTTAAGGAATGAAATATGCACACTCAGAGTCTCCCACAGTGTAAATAATGATGCCATCAGCAGCATGAGTTTAAAGGGGCACTTTTGATTTCCCTTGTCTCCTTCTTTGAAACAGTGGGATTCTGTAAAAAAAATAATTGTTCCCTGGAAAAGCATTGAGCTCTCACATGTGCTGTGAGTCATCATTGGAAGGCCAAAAAATGGTTGCAGTGTCGGTATAGTGAGCCAAGCTTGTGTCGCAGTTGGAATAGGAATCATAAGTTATCCAGGGTCAAGTGCAGTAATTCTGTTGAGGGTTTGGGTCGAGGGAGCCAAGATTCACTGCAGTGATGGGAAAGGCAGGGTGTGGGAATGCAACATACGAATTGAAATAGAACAGTTTCAAAAGGCCTTGAAGTCTCTCAACCCTAACCCCCTAGGGTGTATGTAAAATCGTATTGATACTAGAGGATTTGGGACTGTTCGGGTTAAAGGACGAATGTGTTGATATATGTATTACTACAGTGTACATCAATTAGCACGGTACCAGCTTATTAATCTACAGTTTTCTGGTAATTTGTGGGTGTAAACTCTACATTGCCTCAGATCAGAATTTCATGACAGTTTACACTGGTTGTCTAAATTGTTTGTAGATGACAGGTCACCACTTAAAAGTCTAGGAATAATTTTTTGGTCAGACATTTAACAGCTCCAAGCTATCTGGTCCCTTGGCTTGTCTGCATGGTTCTCTTTACATATACACGCACAATGGAACATTGGGCCTAGGTCTTTGCAGAAAATCCCAGATGGGCAATAGGTACAGGTATGTCCTACATGTAGTCCAGGAGAGTCTGTAAGGTTTAAAGATGACATTGATGTATTTCAGGAACCCTGTGGCACTGCTTATAGTTCACCTACATATAAATGGCTCAACCATGTCATGGCAGAGTGCACTGCTTCTTCACAATTAATGAGATCTTGACAAAATCTGGTGGGTTCAGAAATCTGCAATAATTCGTAAGACCGAGGTGCCATATAATGCCCACAGCCATATTTGGTCAAGCTCACACCAGGCACACAGCGCATGCAGTGTTGCTGGTTGAAGAGTGTGGTTGGCTCTCAGCTCCCCACAGCCCAACTGCAGTGCAATCCATCAGTGTCGTGGTGAACGTCAGGCGTGGTGTACACACTACATAGAGAGGCACCTTGCCTAAATATGTGGATAATCTATTCAAGATCAATCCTAGGATAAGGAATAAACCCAGGGTCTAAAGCCTTCTGTGTTAAGTCAACAGTCGCTCATGTCAAAGTTGGTAATACCCAGATTTTTCAGCTTTGAAGAATGCTTGACATCAGGACACAGGCAAGGTACACATGTACAGTACATGACTGACATTTACTTGTGAGCATATTTAGAACCTAGTTCCTCCTGAATTGTTCCCCTTCCATCTGGAAATGAACCAATTCATTATGGAAAAACATGTCATACATTATCTTGTAAGCCCTCCTCCAAAAATCCCTGGGGTGGAGAGTATCTTGTGAATTTCAACTTTTACTTAGAATGACATGTACATGAGAAGAGTGAGAAATTCAGTGAAGAAGCTAATTTATAAACCTTTTTCAAAGGTTAATCTTAAATTGAAATTGTAAATTTAGATGAATTCATCCTGATTAGCATCTTTTAAGAGAGGGTGTCATACTTTAAGTTTGGTTATGGCAGTGACTGCTTTTCCTTGAAAGATACTGTGCATTAATAATTTGAGTTTAATTGTAAAATAAAACCATTGATAATAGGAAAAGTACAGTTTCGTGGATTTTCACTCAAACATCTCAAATATTTCACACCAAAATTCCAGAAAGGCCAGGGCAAGCAGGCAGATTCTGGAACAAGTCATGATGGTTGACCTTATGAGGTCAGCCCACTTGATCAACATCTGTCATCATTTCACAAAGACCAGCCCTGTCCTGATTGTACTGCCCTTGTTTGTGGTGTCCCCTTCCATTATTATGCCATAACACTGCAGGCCCTTCAGCCTGGAAGCCTTTCCTAGGAACATTGAACCACAGAGGGTGCTTAGTTCAATGGCAGCTTTGTTTTAAAAGAAGTTGATTTTCGGACTAAGTTTGGTTAATTTTACGCTCCGTCAAGTTCTGATGGCAGTAGCCCCCCCCCCCAAAAGGATAGGCCTAAATATTTAGCAAAACAAAATTTAAGAAAAGGAAAAAAAGGGGAGAGATGGATCGCAAGTTTTTCTGTACTTTCTGGCAAGCATATGTTTTCCTTTTGTCTTACTCAGCATTCTTTTGGGACGTTTGTCTGCCTTGTCATTGCTTAAAGGGAAGGTCGTTCATCTGTCTGTAACATTCTGTTTGTCTTTTTGTTGTGAAGGGGATGTGTCAGCCCATGGCATACACCAGCAATGCAAAACAAAGGAATTACATGATATTAGGTGGTTAGGTCCCAGGTTAGCTGACTGTTTAGTTGATACCATGTAAGCCACAAATCAAGTGGTGGTGTGTCACCCTCTCCTTCCCCCAAACTGTAACAGTTTATGTAAACAAGCCATCACTGATGAGAAATTTTTGTTGTACATACATGTAGCCAACAATCCTTAAAGGAAGGATGTTACACAAGTTGCCAGTTGTAACTGTCCACTTTCTAGACCTTGCCAACTTGTCAAGAATTGGACCCCCTTGATGTCATTTGGTTGTCTTGCAATTTATTGTCAAGTCTGAATCAATATGACTGGCTAATGGCATGGAACCAGCCAATCACAGGCATCACCCAGCTTGCTAGTTTGAAGAAGTTGACAACCAAGCTCGACCTTCGACACCGTACTGTTAATGCTTTTGTCCAGGTTTTTCTTAGCAGGTCTGTTCAGCCACAGTTTGAAGTTGTTCACCACAACATTTATATTAGAGCGTATGGGTGTACCACCTTCACCCTATCAAGCGCTGTGCAGTAAAATGTCAGAATTTATGAGCATTTCAAAAGGAATTGAAGTCCTGAGCTTGTTTAACAAGTTGTAAATACCGTAAAGTTTACATTAACCTTCAGAATGAACACTGAAGTAAGTTATGATCTGGAGATCTGGACTTTGTTGGGTCCTGCACTTGTTGGTATAACTCGATCCTAGAAGAAAGATTTGCCTACGTGTACCTGAACATGTAGGTTAGGACATTGCTTACATGTAGAGGTCATCTAATAAACTGGTTCCCAGAGTGATAAAATGTGGTGTAGTTTGAAATTAAAGCCAGGAGTTATGTGTATGATACCAGTATCTTAATACATTTTAGTTTTGACTGTCTAAAATTTATTCACATGTACATAAAATAGTACATGTATCCTGTGTTTCCCATTACACAGTTAAATTTAAAATTCACTGCATTTTTAAGATCTGACTTAGAGGGGGGTGTTATGCATACAAAATTTATAGTTCTGATCGTGGGTCAAACTGAAATTTTTCGTGAAATTCAAAGTCAGTGACGAATTCTACAAGTTTATGGTCATATCGGTGCTTTCTGCCTATGAAGGGTGCTTTCTGCCTATGAAGGTTATCACGGCTTACAAATTGACTATAAATTGATAGTATTTGTGAGTAATTTGTCACTATATGTAAGTGCTTGCAATTGTTGCCCAATCTCAAGGCTGGAAATGCTTAAGAATATATACTTAAACCATGCTCCCACAGCCATTTTGTTCTGCAAAACCCAGAGCTGTTTCAACACTTATGGGGTATTTAGGACAGGTCTTGCCACAGCATTGAGGGATTTATTGATCTTTGCTGCTGAGGCAACATTAGCCTTCTTGACCTCAGTAGAGATTAGGCCCTGGTGTTGTTAAACAGGCTGTCCTGTTTCAGCATTACTTGACATTTTGGGGGTCAAAAATTGGAGATTAGTAGTAAGGTCCATGGAGAGCACTTTGGTCCACAGACTCGGGATGTGGGACACATCCTAGACCCTCAAAGTCAAAGGGTACGTTACTGAGTATTTTGTTACCAAAGAGTAATCATCTTGGAGTCATCCTGGAGACATATCCATTTAGTGGCCTTACAGGGTTTCTGGAGTCAAGTTAGTTACTGATTGTTCAACTCCCAATCATCAATATGTCTTCATTCATTACACCGTCTGGCTGTCTCTTTCTGGCAGAAATTGCCAGTCATTAAGGTCGAGTGCCTTTGCCAGTCACCAGTGATGTGTTACTAGATACTCTGCAAATTATTACAAAATGAAACCCCTCATTGGATACTCATGCTTTTATTTTTAAACTATTGGTACTGATGGATGGACTTGTGTATGAGCAACCCAGTTTCTCATGTTATTGGTACAAGTCTAGACACAAAGCATGTTACCAAAAAGCCAATCTGGGTCTCAAATGGAACATAATTATGATTAAGGGATCAATATTGCACTTTCTTTCCCACCTTTGTGTTTTTGGGAATAGATGGTTGACCTATGCACGGATTCAGTGACCTATATAAGCTTATGCAATAGATGCATAATTGACCTTTGTTTGTATTCGTGTTACCATAGCTTTTGACAGGGCTGTCTTGAGGCATCTGGACACCTTGTGGAATTTTCAGACCCCATGTTTCATTTCTCCTCTCTAATTACTTGGAATTCATTATTGTGACATGCTGATCTCTTAAAATGCAGATTAGACACCCATTTTCAAATTTGGCAAGAACCTTTAAGAAGACTCCATGAGACTCCTGTTTAAAATCCCAAACTGAAGCCAAAGCTTAAGATGAATCTTTCTTGTCTTTCTCCTTTTTCAGATTACAGAAGCTGGAAGTGACAGTCTACCATCCTGGCTTTTCTACAACACTGAAATGCAAACACTACAAGGAATCCCATCAGAAGCCGATCTTAATCAGTACTACCTACAGGTCACCGCCATCGGAAGATCCTTCAATTCCAGTAGGGCAGCCCACGTGACTGACATCTTCTCCATCTCGGTTTTGCCTGAGAGGAGGGCACTGTCCACAGCCGCTGTGCCCCTGAAGGAGGCCACCACCTCCAGTAAAGCTGGCTGCAGCAATGACGAGGCGGAGATAGAGGCCACGGTCCTCCTAGATGCCAACTGGGACAAAATGGGAGTGCAGGAACGTCTGAGAGTCGTGTCCAAGATGTCGCATCACTCCAGGCTGGGGATGGATGTCTTCCGGTTGCTGCCGGCTGGGAGCAAAAGCTTACTGGAAGGATCTCTGATGGTGGCTGGTCCCGGTAACATCAAGCGTGAAAGGCATCCGGGCGTGGCCCTCAGCTGGAGAATAGGCTGCAGCAAGACGAACAGCGTGGACAAATTCCCGGTGGTAACGGTCTTGGAGACTGCCTCCAAGGATGGCTCCATGGCAAGTGAACTGAAGCACGACATTATTGGCTGGCGTGTGACCAACGACAGGCCGGATAGGCTGAAGCGTGTTAGGCGTCAGGTAAAACTCCTGGGGACACCCGTGCCCACACCAGTGCCCACAGTTACTCCACCCAAACCGACCACGCTCAGAGACACCACTGTTGTGCTGCCATCGACCACGATGACTGTCTCACGCACATTTACTGTCGTGGAGCCCACGCCCTCGTTAATGCCCACTATGAGCCAGCCCAGCATTAGTATCAGGCCAACACTGACTGCATCACCATCCAAGTCAGCTTCACCTACTCCGATGCTCACTTCCTCACCACAGCCCAAACCTACTCCCTCTCCACTTCCCACAGTTGTTCCTTCCTCTACACCGATCATAAAAACACGTACATCCATGCCGGAACCAACCCCAACCCTAACCAAAACCTCAACACCAACTGCTAGCCCTACTCCAGCCCCAACCTCAAGCCCAACCCCTACCCCAACTCCAACCAGAATGATGACAACAACTGCAGTCGTCAAAACCACAATGTCCCCTACCCCTGCACCTACACCCTCAGTTACAAAACCTACCACCCCACAGCCCACAACTGTCAGACCTGTTGTCAACACTCCTCCAGAAATCCACAGGCGTCTCAAGAGGGTGGATGCCATGCAAGGAAAGTTGTTGCGCTTCAAGATCCCGAGAAATACGTTCCGTGACGCAGAGGATGGTGACACCAGGCATTTGGACCTGATGTTGCTGACTTTCGATCATGCTGAGCTGGACCCCAGGTTCTGGCTTAAATTTGACAAGGAGACACAAACACTAACCGGTCTGCCACTCAAGGAGCAAGCTAAAAGGAAGAGGTACGATTTGATTCTGGTGGCTCAAGACAGCCAGGGACTTGAGGTGCAGAATGCTTTTCAGGTGGTTGTAGCAGCAGCACCCAACCCGATAGATGACTCGAATCCACCACCAGTGAAGATGGGAATGACGCTGGACATCGACTATGACACTTTTGTAAATAGCCCCGAAATGCAGCTCTTTGTCCTCAACAAGATCGCCAAGGCGTTCGGGGATCCCAACGCGGATGCCATCACCATCACGGAAATCAGGCGTGGCTCTGTGATCATCTCGTGGGTCAACAACACCCTCCCCACGGACTCCTGCAATCAGGAGCTCATCTTGGAGCTCCAGTCCAAGATAATGACAGAAGACGGGAAGCCCACACAGGCGCTGATTGATGCTTTCCTGCCCGAGTTCAACATCACCGAAGTGGAATCCTTGCCACTGGGTGCGTGCGTCACTACTAGCCCAGCACCACCGACGACAGCCACGTCGGATCCTGGTGCCGGAGGCCAAGACCCACCGCAAGATATGTGGATAAGCACGGTCCTGCCCGCCGTAGTGATAGCTGTCATCCTCCTCATCGCGGGCATCATCATCTTCATCCTCTACCGCAAGAGCCGCAAGGGCAAGCTCTCTGACGAGGACCAGAATACCTTCATCAACAAGGGCATCCCCATCATATTTGCCGACGAGATTGACGATGGGGAGAAGCCGCCCTCTTCCTCCTCTCCGCTCATCATGAAGACCGAGAAGCCACCGCTGTCACCCCCCGAGTACACCGAGACCCAGCAGCCGCTGATAACCAACAATGAACAGCGCGGGGGAGGGGACGAGGAGGACAAGCACAGCCTGCCGATGGTTGACATGTCGGGCACTCCTTCCTATCAGCCCCCACCTCCGCTCTCTCCTTCTCCACCGGAAAATAGGAACAATACCCCCTCCCGAGACATAGCCAGCTATAGGAAGCCACCAGCCTATGTCCACATTCAGCCTTAGCCTTGTACATCGACACGGCGTAGTTTCTCTTGTCAACTTGTGAAAGGACAGTGACTTTTATTAAAAACATCTCTTTATTTAAAAGTGTAAGGAGTTTCCTGCCTGTCATGAAGGCAGTTTGTATGATTTCAAGTTACAGTTTAGGTGTTTTGAATCGAAAGTGAGGAATCGTCTTGAGGGACTATACATGTACGTCGGTAGTTCCTAGTGAAGGCTGCAGTTTTGCATATTGCAAGTTGTACAATATGTAGAAACAATGCATCCCACCTTAAATTATCGTAACGGCTTCTTTTGCTACATTATATGTATAAAAGTATTTATTAAAGGCATTCTTTCCTTTAAGTTCATTTACTCATAATGTATTAGTTTGTAATCAATAGATGCGATCCATCTTCAAGGTTCACAGATTTTTTTTTTTTTCAAAAAACGAACAAACTAACCAACCTACATAATTTTTAAAAACACTGTCCAAGACCAATATGGTTTACTTGAGGGAAAACTGTGATTTTGGTAATTGGTTGTTTTACAGTTTCATACACATGTAGGCATATGGATCAAATGAGGAAGTCACAAGTGGGAACTTGATTAATTCAAGATGTGCTTATTGGTAGTGCGCAGAACGTGTAGCGTAAATAGAAAAGATGTGCCTTGTCTTTCTTTTTGGTAGTGATGTAGAAGTAATGGATCAACTACAGTCAATTTCTCTAATTGTAGGATTTTTATGGCATGTTTCCAAGAACAGCTTTGGGGCCAAAATGTAATGAAGCAAGAGTGTGACATTAAGGGGCACCATGGTAGATTGTATCAGGTTGTTAATGCAAACTCCGAAAAACTTGATCTGTAACTTGTGGGATTTGTTTTTTGAAGAATTTTTTTTTTTATCTTTATGTAAAAGGAAACAAAAAGATGTAAATTCGGCAGTCAACAGTGCCCTTTATATTTTTGAAGATGTTTTTTAAACTATATGTTGATGGACTTATTTTAGAATGAGCTTCGAAAAAAATGCATGTTTGGTATAGCGATAATATTTGGCAAGGTGACCCTGACCTACTCATGTGGTGAGTGCTTGGTTATAAAAATGTTGTAGTTAAATGCATTGGCTGCTTGTCAGCAGTATTGCAGAAAAAGTGGAGAAAGTTTTTGCATCTCCCATGTTCATAGAAGTTTCAATGCTGTTAAAATGCTCAAAAGTTTCACCCTTCCACCCTCCCTTTTTTCTATGGAAATAAGGTTCAGTCCAAGTACAGGTGTGTATCTGTGTTAGTACCAACCTCAGAAGAGGTAGGCATGCAAAGCATCGTAAGGAGTTTATGAGATTCTTTTTTCCTCAATTTAATGTTGTGGCAGTTACAATACTACAACTGAAGTTTACCTGACTGGTATTCACCCCCAAATTATACCCGGAACCCTGTTGTGTAGAAGTGACTTAAAAACACTTTAGCACTCTGCACTGAGAGATCATGTAACGGCTTCACAATATAAACAGATTTTTGCTCTGTGGGAGCATTGTTTGAAAATATTTGAGGTGCTGTGTTGTGGGTTGTGGGAATTGATAGGGAAATGTTTGTTCTGAGAGTGGACTCCATGTGGAAACAAAAACTTTCAAAACTTTGATAAAACCAGTCAATGATTCAACTTCATTTCTTTGAAGTAATGAAGCAGTTAGTCAAGTGGACTTTTGTTCTTTGTTTTGCTTTTTCTATGCAATAGACCTTATTTATGTGTTTGCCATTTAGAAAGTGAAGTTAACTTCTCATTTTGGGAACCGTAGAGTAAAAATAATAGCAATAAAATAAGTCTATTACAGATTCATGCCATTTCGTGGTTAGAATAATTTACAATTTGTGATAAACTAAATCTAAATGTTTGAAGCCACATTAAAAAAAAAGCAAGTGAGGCTTCAAACGCCAAATGGTCAGGCACCACCCCATTTAACATATTACATTGAGTATGATAGATTCAGGGAACAAGATCAAAAATGGCTTCTGCGTAAATGAGGTCTATTGCTTAGCCGAGTGAGAGGTTTGCACAGTCGGCTAGTAAAGCTGTGTTGTATCGGCATAGGCTTCACCATGCATTGGGGTATCGCACTTGATTGGTTTAACCCAGGGTTAATCCAATTGGCAGGGTAGGATCATGCAATATTATAAACCCATTTATGCAATTACTGTGAGGTTTAAGCTGCCTTGGACTTTCAAAGAAAAACTTCCCGGGTAGAAATTGTTTTCCCACAATTGCAGTTACTACTAATGTTGTTAGAATGCATTACAGGAAAAAACGTTATTCTGTACTCAGTTGAAGATGTTTGTAAGGCTTTTTGAGTGTATGTGTTGAAAACTATATGAGATTTCCTTCTTCAGTTGTGAACTGGCAGGCTTGTCCATACAGTTCATTCACTTGTAAGCAGTTTCCTAAAATTGCATTTTTTTAAATCCTAAAAGGTGTTTTTCAAATATTTTAGAAACTTTATTCGCATTTTTGAAATAACGTAAAAATCCCTCCTGAGCCATTAACACAGCTCTACAAAAATCTACCATTGAGCTTATTTTTTGTATGTAAACTGCTAGTGTGTATGGCATATACATTTTTAAATTTGTAATATTGTGAAGTGTTTTTTTTTGGGGGGAGGGTTTTGTTTGGGTCTTTATGGGTGAATGCTGAAAATTATTCATCTGCTGTTCAAGTGTAGCATTCATTTCCAGGGGGTGCGACAACACATCTGATAATGTGTGTGTTACTCTGGAACTCTAATGGCAAAGAGCATTCGTGTACATTTTAAATGTATTGTTACCTCTCGTATATACCCAATATTTTAACCACAAGCTCCTGAGCTCTTGAGATAAGCCTCTGGTGTATTTGGTGCTTATTTATATATTAGTTGATTTTTTTCCCTTGTATCTACAAGACTACATGTACATGTATATTACCCTGTTTCATTTTAATGTCATTTTTTATTCATTTAAAATTGTGTTTTTCTCCTGTGTCATTTTTATTAGCTTTTTCCTCAAAAATCTCATGTAATATATGATATGCAATTTATTGTGACTTTTAAGATGTTTGTGTTATCTACATTAGAGGGAAATTGCCTGTTGCAGGTATAATGTGCATTTTTGTGGTAAGTACTCCGTGCCAGGTAAATGCAAGGAAACATTTTGGGGGGGAGAGTATTTGGTTTAATAGAGAATGTCGCACTGGGGTTTTTGCCTCGCACCACCCTACAGAGTAACCTGTCTTTCATGGCGATGTGCACAATTTGATTGGAACCCCCCCATTTGTAATATCCTTTTCAAAATCAAATCATGGCAGTGTATGGAAGAGAAGAAATTTTGTGTGGAGAACTGTGCCCGAAGATCTTTGCTTGGTGGTGTTTGCATGAAATGCTACTTGAAAATTGTAGCATCATCTTTGCCCAATGGAGGCAGTAGCATTTTGTAAGAAATATTGCACAAGAAGTTCTGGCATTAGATTCCTTTTTCACCAGAAAGGCTTCAGCTGGATGTAGTGGCTGTGACTATGACTGTGGCTGGTAATGTGCTCATAGAAGCCATTAACTAGTGGCTTATCAACTTCCCATAGTCATGAGTTTTACCATCTGAAAAGTCACTGCTGAAAAGAGACTAAATACTGAATAGGTTTCAATTTGGGAGCCTCTTGCACAAAACTTTCCCCCAACTTGAACCATATCTTAAATTCTTTCTACTTGCACATACCAGGCTTTTCTGAGAATGAACATGCTAAAAATTTCTTATCCAAGTGTTATAAATGCTGAGCATAGTGATATAGTCCGAACATTTCCTGCAAGTAATGTGATTGAGGCACACGCTTCAGGTTGGTCTGGTTGTCACTGTGCAAAGTAGGGCTCAATAAATCAACTAATATTTTGATTTTTGTGGGAATCACAAGATTCCAGTGTCAACCGTCTTACAAAGTTTGTACCACTTCGTACTGCAGATGTGTCAAATAGTGATTTTTTTTTTGTCTTTTGGGAGTTGAATTTTCCGAAAGATTGCAGGCTGTTACTTGTTTGAATTGCCACTGTGTCAAATATGGTTGTTGCAAGATATTCATTTAGGGAGAACATTTTGTAAAAACAAAAATAATAACAATGATAACCACTGTTGTCTGTTAATTGTCTGTCATTGTAGCAGAAAATGTAGGACACTCATTTATGAAAAAGTAGTTATTGGATGGGCAATAGTCGTACACTTTGACAGCGAATAACAATAATGCAAGGTGCTCGATCTTTTAAATCATTAAATAAATCGTGTCAGTTTGTTTTAGCTTGTCTAGATTTATGAAAATGTACCCATGCAAGCACAGTCTGTGACTTGAGAGACACCGTTTAAGATTTAAATGGCTACAAATTATGATATTAAATTGCTTGCTTAATTTTGTATTATGTGGTCTAGTATTTGAAAATCTGCTTTAGAAGTGAGACAAAACTGTTGATGAATCGAGGCAGGAACAAAACCACAGAAGCTTTTTTAAAGGTTCAAAGGGGAGACATCTTTGAATGACTTTGTACTTCATAACTATTATCGCGTCTGTTTCATACATTGTCAATTTACGTGGTATTGTATATGTCAGACATTTTAACCGTCTTCTCTGTACACGTAAGCTGAAAAATACTACCAGTGATTGAATTTCTTTTGTGAATATACCTTGATAGCTATAACGTAGTATGAAAAAGTACAGACAAAATGCTTCTGGAGTTGTAATGTGTATCTCCGTACTTGCCTACAAGTTTGTAACAATGCTAGCAGTGAACCAGTATGTTAATAATAAACATTTCTTTTGTGAAAGACAGCAGTTGTATATCTGCACAGTTAATTTCTCTTAACGTCCAGTACTACAGGAGGTTCTTTCGATGCTTGTCACTGGGGCTTGCTTTAAGTTGCTTAGTTTTGCTACGGAGGATAAAGTCCTCTGGGAAAGAGTTTCCATATACGGACGCCAGTAATTATTCCCTACTGTGGCCTATTAATCGTCGCAGAAAGCAAAAACCTGTCAAAAGTTAAATTTAGGAGGAAAAATCCAAGTCGATTACTTAGAAAAAACAGAATTCTTCAGATCGTTCTCATAGGGTTTGTGTATAGGATGTCAAGTGGTGTCCGTATATGGAAGTCTTTCCCCGCACTTATCTCCAGTTTCCTCAAAATTTTGGACACAAATCCCCTCTTCGTTTCTCCACGATCTTGTCTGAAAGCACGTTCATCTGGACAATGTCCGACTCTGTTTTACGTTTCTAATTCTCGTGAACGATACCGGTCAGTCATGATAGCGCCCTCTCGCGGCGGCGGTTTTGTGTACCAAATAAATAGGAATGTTTCGGAGTATATTACGAGACTGCCGTACGAGACTACAGTTCAGAAAAACACAGACTTGACATGCCCTTGGGGCTATCGCTTCAGTCTTTATGTTGTAATGTTTACTTGGTTACTCAGAATAAAGGTTTGTTGTTTTCTTCTAGGGTTGTAAATTCTTGTTGGAGTTATACTTGAAAATGTACAATGTACATAATACCGCAATTTTCGTTTACGTTACTTCGGGGATGGGTTTTTTGCATCAGAAATTAATCTGGAATAGATTTCCCCTCTGTTCACTGAAAAGGAAGGATTTTGACGAAATAATAAATTAACTACAGAAATTTGAACTTTGATCAACCGTTTCCTCAAACAAAATGGTCGTATAACAAACCAAAACGTTCACGGCAATTTGAAGGCACAAAGGGTAATGGCCACTTTTCGGCCGCCTCGGTAAAATCTATTTTTCTAGTATACAAAAGCAGAAAGTAAAGAGCACGGTTGTGTTTAAAATGGTCGATCCGCTTTTCTGAAAGAAGGAAAACAAGTGGCGACTTTTCGGCTGTCTGTAATCAAACCGTTTGACCCACCTTTGCTTCTCTGCAAAAAGAAAAGCAGGTGGTCATTTTTCGTCCGTCAGCAAATGGAGGGAAAGTAAAATCTGCTTTTCTGGCGAAGAAAAATGCATTTTCACAAATCGTCCAATCTGCTCTTGAGGTAGCAAAAAAGTTAAGAAGTGCATGTTCCAAAAACGTAAAATCCTATTTTCCACTATTCTGAAAGCAGAAAAGGAGATGGCGACCTTTCGTCCTCCACAAATTTAATTATTGTTCAAACAATTAGTTCCTTGTGAAGACAACCAGGACGTTTGCCTCGAACTTCGTTTTTTGGCCGGAGTATTCCATTTTATCTGGATGTTTTGTAACGAGCCATCCACATACCCATGTGTGCACGTGGTCACATGTTGGCAGTTTTGAATTTAGTCCCCGGCTTAGTCATCCAAAGTGCTAAACCCTAAGAAGTGTTTCAACACTGGGAGGTTTTAAGAGGGTTTTCAGGATGGAGGACGATAGCGCTCAGCCATCCCATTTGAACTGCATGGGCTTGTTTCGCAGGAAGTGTTCAGTACGTGAATAAAAATCCCTAAGTATAGCTTGGATTTGGAAGGGTCCATAAAGCTTTCCGATACCCATTAAAGCAGTTGATGTAGATTTGATGGGGGAAATGAAACATCGTATTGATTCAGACCAACCTTGAAGATGTTGAGAAATAATCTAGTGATTGTTGAAAAAGTTGGAAATTCACTGACGTTAGCTTAATGGCCAAACTAACACAGTTACGCACTATCAGTATCAGCCCTACTCAAGGTCATAGGCCCATAACCTGGATGAGAGATATTCTTTTTCAATTTTTCACCTCAAACCGATTTTAGAACCTCTTTTCCCTCTGTTTTACACGTTTGGGGGGAAATTGTAAAAACTGGGGTTTACTAAAGAATGCAGGCCGGTAAATAGGCTGCTTGCGCGGCCCAAATCACAATTTGTATGTACTCAAATACTCTACGAAATAGAGCATTTTGTGGCCCATGAACTTGAAGATTTGTAGAAAAGATAGGTTTAGGCGGGCAAAGAGAATACCAGCTTGCGTTGAAGTGGGATTTGGAAAAAATGGGTGCCTAAAACGGTCTATTTTTCGAGAAGTGTAGGCATCGGTATTTCAAAACGGAGAGGAGCTTCAAGACCGCATTTTAGGGGTGACCTTCCATGGAAATAAAAATCTTCCGAAGTCATCGGTTAACGAATGGAATGAAAAGAAAATGAAAAATCATAAACTGGGCTTATATTTGACGTGCTTCTCAAACGCCTGAGAAACTCTTGAGTATTTTCCAGATTTTTTGAAGTTATGGGTATTTATCACTGTTGGCTATGGCAATTTATTTACTGGCCTGCAACCNCTGGCCAGAAATTCTCACCTGAATAAGTGGGCTGCACCCCTCAATGCAAATATTTACAGCGCCACCAAGAGGCGGCTCAATGTCACAGTTCCCTGGCGCGGCACAGGCACCGGCCGCATCCGGTGACAGCTGTTTCGATGTTGCTACCCTGAATATTCCTTTATTGCTGTTTTTGTCTTCTTGATTCATTTGAAATAGGTGAGTGGATTGTTAAAGAGTTCTATACACAGGCATCAGTTGACACCCTACGATGAGTGATGTTCCAGTTGGAGCTCGCTGTTCAGTTGTACCATGATTGTACCTATCCAGATCCACAAACCCTCTAGACTAAAGACTTGGTATTTTCCCTCCTAATTTGAACTTTTTTGGACATGTCTTTTGCTTTTTGACGCGTATGTGACGTAGCGGGCTCCGTGGGGAATAATTTCTGGCGTCAGTATATGGAACTCTTTCCGAGTTCAATACACTGTCATTATTTGTTCCGCTGTGTACAAACCAAATGAGATCGGTCTGAAAAAAATTAAGTAGGCCTAAGTGCATCGTTTTCCCTGCTAAATTTGACTTTAATTTGTACGTTAGTCTTAGTGTTACTGTTTTCTGACAGGGGATGCGACATCCACTGTAGGGAAAAGTGAGTGACGTCCATGCGTGGAATTCTTCAGACTCAATATTGTCATTCATTTGCTCAACTGCAATACCTTTATCTCCCAAAACTCTGATAGGAACTTGGCTAATATAATACTGTGAGTCTGCATCTACCCCCACTACTGTGGGAGTGTGGCTGATGACAACTCACTCACTTTCGGGGTAGGTCAGCTTCCAGAGTAACAACGTTTTTGGACTTTGGGGTCATGCAGCTCATCTGCTGTCTTGTAACATTCAATTTCAGCATTCATCTATGGCAGATCAAGACAGTAACCAATCCGGTGTACTCCAGGAAATTCTTAACCTTCCGAGCCTGGTGAGGGCGCTGTATTACTCGGACGACTTCCAGACTCGTGTGTGTTGGTGGTTCGTGTACACCTTGGCGGTCCTCGTTGTTTTGATACATTTTTCCTGGCAGCTGTACGGAGCAGACATCTCCAAGACCTTTATGCAACAAGGTACATGGTCTCTGCGATGCCACAAGATGGTTTAGGGAGTGCCAAGGTCATGTTGGACTTTGTTGATTGACCCACCTGATTATTCGATTTCTGCAGGATCGCTTGATCTTGGTGTTTAAGCTGTCAATGATTTCAACTTCAGGCGATCGCTTTTTCTTTCCAATTCATGGTTGTGGAAGAATATTTTTATAAAGGGAATTAAAGTCAGAGACTTCATACAGGGTTGACTGCTAGTGTACTCAAGATTAATAAATGTAAATATGCATTAAACTGGTAACAGGTTTGTAATTAATGATACCAGGTGATCATTCGTAGATATTCTGGACAATGAAACACTACAGTGTATGATCTGTTTCTACATGTATCTTTTGTGCATATGCATTTGGCAAAACTTTCATTTTTCCCCCAAACTTTACTCCTTTCCTAAGGCGATTTTTGACTACCCGTTTTTTGATCTGTATTTATATCGTCCTGGTTCCTGTCATTTTTCAGGTGGGCAGTACACTCCAACAAGACAAAGGCAAGTTTGTTTGGAAAAATTAAAAAAAAAAAAATTGTTTGAAAGTTGTGTTGGTTGTATTTCAAGTGCATAACAACTAAACATTTTGTCAGTTGCACCACAAAGTAATATACCATCCACAGACTTTAGAAACGTGGCACATCTGTTTGTGGTGCAGCAACTATCCACAATAAATTAGTTTGTGATACAAACGACAATTTGGGAGAGAATGGATAAAATGCAGTTTCAGGACACAAACTCAACTTCAGATTTCAGATACTTTATAAATGTTGCACATCAAGATCAGTTCGAATTCAAAAAGTCGTTGATGAGTCAAAAAAACATCATCAGCTAGCAGTGCCGTTTTTTGAATTTATGTAATTCATTTTGTGTCACTACACAGGTCACAAGATGGCAGCCCTCCTAAACAACATGGCAAGGTGGATTGACCAACAGATGGCAAACTGACAGTAAAAAAAAATCATTTTGAAACTATTGGACCTTCAGGACCATCTGAGGTTTCCTGAAGGGAACAAGGTACAGAGGGGTTGTCTGCAGTGTCTTTCTTGCCATGAGGTGGCCCTGAACATCACCTCAAGGAAATGGATTAACTGCTTGTATTGCCAGCCCGTCTCGTAGATCAAAGAGTTGCCTCAGGGTAGACCGCTGCTTGGCAAAAACCTCTCTCATTCACCCAGTTCTTGTGTCTAAAACTATTAACTTGAACTGTACACCAAATATTGTGACATTTTAATGCTTTGTCTTTGATCAGAAATGTACTGTAATGCACATTTGTTCTTGACAGATTTTATACATATCAAAATATACATATTTATATAATTTATTCATAGTGACATATTTAGTACTCTTGATTTCGGTTTCCATGTAAACAATTGCGCTACTTTGGGTACTTGGAAATTGATTTGGTTTCATTTGTTTATTTTGAACTCTGTGTGATTTTTCTTTGGCAAAGCTCATAAGATACTTCCATAGTGTGCTTGTTGAGATGTTTGATAGCAGTAAATCATCGCATTTCTTTGCTGTAATTTGAGGTGAGCAGTTTAAGAAATGGTACGTGACTGGAAAACCAATGAGCCAAGTGATTGCGTATATGAAAAGTTATACACCACTACGATCAAGGTCAAACTTTGCACAGATGAAGCAGGTGTTACTTGAAGGGTTCCTGCAGAGTTCCATGTCAGCCTTTGTGGAGTGATATAACTTCTATGTGTGAAATAAAATGGAATATGTACCCAAGGGTTTTGGAGCTGAAGTTTTAGGAAAGAAATAAACTGATGTAAAAAACATCTGATTTATATCTTAATACTTGGTTTCAAGTACCTTCTGTGGAGACAAAATTGCAATTGCTTTACTCTTTCAAATGAATCATGCACTCAGTGTGAAGAGTAACACTAACCATCCCTGTACTTAATTAATGTGTTTCTGTGCCAAAACTGACCATTTCAAGCAACTGAACATTATATTTGGTATCTCTTTGTGAGATAATTTTTGCATTTGGGCAAGATGATCAATTATTGCCCTTGATCTCGCGTGTGACCACATTGAGTTATTGCCGTAATTTCTGTGGAAACCTTTAACCCAAGCCCCCCACGAGCTCTCGGCCAAAATCAAATGCAGTGCAGTAGAAGTAATCACACATTTTGTACTTTAACAAAACTTGACTCCCAAGCCAAGTTTAATAAACAGAGGTGGCTGGGAAGTACAGTTAAGGGGTAACTTCACAGAGCTGCTTACGTAGAGAAATCTGCACAGCATATACAATGCATTCTTAGTAAAAACAGGTTACCGGCCAAAAGCTGAACACTTGACACTGGCTCCCTGGTCAATTTGCTCCATATCAATTTGCTCTGTAAAACTTTCTGCTGAATGAAACTGAGTCTTAAATCCACTGAACTGCTGCAACATTAGATGAAGATGTTTAAGAATGGGGATGGTTTGATGAAGTTAGAATTGGTAGTGTATTTCTCAAAGTCACCTTTTCCCTCCTTTGCTATGTCTCAGCTTGGTCTGGCGGAAGCACCAGCAAGACTTGTAGGTCCATTACGTTGGTTCCAGTCAAACCAGTTTTCAGTAAATCCTTTCCGTCATTCAGTTGACTGTAGAACGAATAGGAATCATTATTCTTAAGTACGGTTTCCGCATCAATTCCTGATTGGCTGGCCAGAGTCACCTGACTGGGATCGGCCAATGCACCGGCAGCATCAGTTGGTCCATCTTGGCCATCAGTTCCAGCGCTGAGGAACACAGCACGGTAGCCATCATGCAGGAGTTTCTCAAGATCGGATTGGCGTTTCATTGCCAAGGCGACAGCCAATGACATCTCTTGGTTTCTTCCGCCCCTGCCTTTGCCTGTCACGGCCACCGTTGTTTCACCAGCGCCAATCAAACATATTGGTGCTTTCCTACTGTAGGCAGTGTCTACAATAGCTTGGATTTTTTCAAGGGTTTCTGCCTGAAGTCCATGCAGCCTGATGAGGTCTTGACCAAGCGTCTTCATGTTGTGGTTAGCACATCCTCTTTGCTTTACATTGTACGATTCACAGGAGTAAGCTGCCATTTCAACAAACATCTCCCCAACTTTTCTGGCCTCCCCTGAAAGGTCGGTTGAAATCAACATGGCCGCATAGCCCAAGTCCTCGGCATATCTTTTAGCATGCTCTGCAGCCATTTCATTATGTCCGATGCAGAGGTTCAGGACGTGGTCACAAGACGCGGATTCTGGTTTCTCAATGGCTGCGTCTGCGACAACCTTCTCTTGAAGGAAACGGAAGACAGATTTGGGGATGGCGTCTGCTGCTCCAAGACTTGAAATGATGTCCAGGCAATCTTGTGGTGTGGAGTCATCTCGTATGGTAGGCCCACTGGCGATCATGTCTAGCTGGTTACCAATGATGTCCGACAAAATAAGACTGATCACCTGGAAACAATACAAAGTAAACAAATATGTATATATGCAAGTTAACAATGACCACGATATTAGGGCTAATCAATACTCAAAACCAGTTGCAGATGGCAGTGTTGGAGTCAAATCCATCATAAGCCCTTTCACAAGTCCCTTCACATATCCAGTCACAAGGCAAGTTATAAGTAACGGTGAACAATGACAAAGGAGTGCTTTTGTCACAGTTCATTTGAATAGCTCGTGAATTGGCTTAAGACTGAATGACTTCTGATGGACTTGTGCTGGACTTACCGGGACTGGTAGGGACTTGTGATGGACTCAAAACAACACAGGCAGATGGTATTATTTTTACTGGAAACCCTGACTTCTTAAAAAAGGCAACACATGTTGGTCCACTTTCAAAACATAGCAAAATGTCACAACTACTGAGGCAAGATATACTGGCCTACTTTTAAAACACGGACAAATGTCATAAAAATTGAGACTTGTTGAGAGTCATTTGAACAACATTTGTACAATATCTTACCCCAATTTCATATTTCACAACACTCAAAGCTGTCTCTGAGGACCAATTACTGTCTACAACAGGCTTTGTACAGTAGCTGAGTTCAACGCAAAGTCGACCTCCACAGACTTTTCAGACACTGCGTGTTTTTAAACCAAACACAGGATGAGGCCGGCATACAGCTCTGCCGTCTGAGACCCTAGGACTGGTGAACAATTTACTCTTTCAGTACCCCTAGGGTAGGAAATGATTAAATCCTAGGTATGGCACTAAGGTAAGAGGAATAAGTTACTGGTTTCCTGCCCAGCAAAGGATTTTGAAGATAGCAGCAGGTGAGTTCAGCTAGCCTCACCTGGGCAGGATAGGCTAGCTGGCCTAGTCTGCCGCCCTTCAGTCTCGACAGGTGCTTCCTGATAGTGTTCAGCTCGGCGATGGTGCAGCCCCTTCTGGCAAGGGTCCTCGATACCTCGTACACATCCTGCAGAGTGATTGGGGGGGTGGGGGCTGGGAGAAGAGCCGAACCGCCACCTGGGCGGTAGGGGAAATAAGAAAGACATGTTAAAAGTTAAACAGACTCAGTCAATACAAGGGCTTGGGAGTAAAATATAAATGAAGGCAATTCCCAAGGCCACAACTGACTGACCTACCTCAAGGACTGGTATTGGAGTTTGACTCAGTGAAAAGCTGTTTCATACATACATTTGTCCCGTTTTTCAAGATTAAAGCAAGCTCAGTATTCAAGCACATTTCTTGAGTCTACTCCCTGGCAGCTCAGTACACGTCATTTTCCATTTTCCACTTTGCTCTTTGACCTCTCACCTGACACAAGAACAATCAGCAGGTCCCCCTCGCCGAGCCCCTCGGTCAGCTCGGTAATTCTCTCTGCTGCCCGCTGAGAGTCGCTGTCGGGAAGGTTGTTCTTGGCTCCTTCAATGATTGTGACTTTGGATGCAGCAGATGGCAACAGGTCGCTGCAGAGTAGTTGAACAGCGCCGAACAATGTAAAAAACTGTACCGGAAAAGTACCTCAAAATTTGGCATAAATTTAACATAATGTGGTGAATATGAATCTCTAGTTGTAACACAAATACAAAGATGATAACGATGGTGTGAAATCATCAAATAGTTTTGGGCCACTGGTTGAGGGCTTGTTACATCTAATCAAGGATGGATCCAGAACCAAATTAAAAGGGGAGGGGGGCCTTGGGGGGAATTTGAAATTTTTTTGGTAACCTTCTATGGCCTCTCCAAGGGGGAGGCTACATTCTGGGGCTTTTATCACACTTTTGGACAAGAGGGAAACCAAACAATTGCCTTTCATAATTAATTAAAATTGGACTATTCTGGGGGGGAAGGGGGAAGCCCCTGCAAACCCTCATCCATCCTTGAACCTGACCATGGGGTAAGAAATTTGAATCCTTCAGCTGGTTACATGTTGCAACTTTTTCAAATGAATATACTACATTAGGGAATCTGACTGAGATATGGTCCCCAGCGAGTGCGCTCTACTGCTGAGAGCAAGCTTGTTCGAGGACCATCGGTCAACTAGTGGTTTCTCTGTGACATGACCGAGCCTGCTCTCTAATCCTGCGTGTGAGCAATTCCTCATCTAACTAAAGTAACAAGTTATCACAAAGCTTCCATGTTATGCACTGAGATACACCCAAACTGATCACCAGAATGTGTCCATCTCCAGTACGAAGGCCCCGGAGAGTCAACCAGAAAAGTCTATCAACATGTTATGAGCACTAAATCAAAGTCAGTCAAATTACTGATCACGACAGGTCTTCATCAACTTTGCTCCCAACTGTTTTATTTCAGTCTGTGACAGTGTTCAAGCGTGCTCAGATTGACCGACAGAATGGGCTCACTTTGACTGAACATACATTCTTCCAGCCTTTTTGAGGGCTTCTTGTATGCCAAAGGGCACGCTGGCAACACCAAGCTGGATGTGTTCCCCAAGGATGTCATCCACGGCCCCCACCATGCCGATAACAGCCTTGCCAAAGCCTACAACGTACACATTGTGGTCAACCTGTTGGAATACATGTATGAGATGTTACAACATGGGACGGGAATGCAAACTTGGTCTAATATCATGGAGTTGCTAAGCATTATGTGAATGCTTTTACTACATTTCTGGAGCAAGTGACCCAAAGTTAAATAAGCACTACACAGCACGCTGGGCAGACTTGATAACACTGGCCAATAGGCCCATAGGCCCATATACTGATGATGTTGGGCTTTGAACACATGTACACTTTTCTACGGAGCTCTGAACCTGTCGTCCCCACTCAACGCCTGTAAGAAAGCATGCACGCAAACAAAGCAGGATTTCATCAGCACATGGGCACCTGGTTCGGTCCCTCCTCGTCACTGTATCCTGCTCTTCCGAACGTGAACCGACAAGGATCACTATACATACACTGCAAAAGCTGTTATAGCATTTTTGATCATTACCTTGTACTGTTTCCCACTGACAGTTAGACAGTTACCGTGGCAACTGAGGGTCTTGGCAACCATGCGATGAGGCAGCACTGCATCCACACCAGCGGCAAAGATGCTCCTGGCATCTCGCTTCAGCTGGTCAGTTGTAACATCCTGGAGAAAAAATTCAACAAAAACAAAAAGGTGGTCCATATATAATTCTTCCTTGAAATTAAACAGAAACGCAAACATAGTTTTGAAATCAAGAACCAGACAAATTTCTTCCAAAAAAGCTCATGTGTCACTCAACAACTGACATGGAAAGCACTGTTTATGCTGGCACAAGTTCACTCTCCCATGGCCTTCAAAATCCATGCTGGGGTGGGTTTCAGAGGATTTTTTTTCAGAATTGAAGCTGTTATGCCCAACTATGGCCTAGGCCCCAACAATAGTTTGGCCCGGCCAAACTACAGCCCAAAGATACATGTAGTTGGTACTGAGGCTATAGTTGGAACATAACAGAACCAGTAATCACTATTACTCTCCTGCTTGATGAAATTTAAAGCAAAATATCAAGTACAAAGAATGTACCAAGTGCTAGTTTTTGCACTGTGGAAGATTTGGGAATGGAAGAGTTTCGAGTCAAAAATACCAAGAAAATTACAATTTGGGTAAATCATATTTGGTTTATTTACCATACTTAGGTTTTTGAATGTGGGCTTCGTGTGTCTAGGCAGGGTCAAAACTTTGGGCAGAGTCCGCCTCAGACCGATTCCACAGAAGAAAAGCAGTGTCGCCATCTATTCACCAATGAAGGGACAGGTCTGTGATCAAGCACCATTAATCCAACGTTGTAGCACAGTATCATACGGCCTATCTGATGCTTGTCAGATCCCTGTATTGTTAAACATGGTCTACCATTCAATTAAACATGTTAAAAATGGCCGGGATTTTTGCAAGATACACTTTATCTTTGGATTATATTTTTTCAATGAGGCAAGCCATGAGAATGAAAGTTTTAGATTTGTGTCTGGAACATTTTGGGAAAGCGTGAGGCTTTTGTCCTTATTCATTAGGCTTTTATTTTTAGCAAGACGGTGTGCGTACCGCTAGTGGCCATGCATGGTGCATACCCAGAGAAGCGCGTATGCATGTATCAGAGAATTTAATCGTTTGTGTAGTAGGGCCTAGGTAGGTATGTGCAAGTACCTAGGTATGCGCATTTTAAATCTTTTTTCTTTTACTGTAGCTTTATGATTTGGGATTTGACATTTTTGGGGGATATACTTTTTATGAAAATAATGATTTTTTTCGGCGGGGTGTTTTGGAGCATGCATGCCGTGGACGCAAATCTCAAACTTTCACTGTCGTGGCCTAATATGCTCTTACTAGGTCTTCCTCAAGTTGTACTGCCTACTGATGTCTAAAATCTTGGAACTGATAAATGATCCTATTTGAGCCCCTGCTGGCATAACCCCCATTAATTATATGTCCAAGCTGACTCGGTCAATGACCGATCCTACTACTAGTACTGTGACCCCCATTCACCATGTTTATTACATTTGTTTCAACGGTGTGTAGGCCCATATAGGAAGAGGCTGGACTGTCCTTTCACTTTTGGCAGCTTTTTAGGCCTATTCGACTGTCCACTGCAGTACAAACATGTCATGACGAACGCAGGAGCGCGGTACATGACGATGACCATGATGAACCCCCGATCATGAACATGTACTGTCATGACTGTGAATGTGATGTACATGTACTATCATGTAGGTGAACAAAACCAATGCCCCTCTTCGGCCAATCGAAAAAGTAACTATGACAGACGAAAGCAAATACGTGAACTACATGATAACTGAAAAAAGCAATCACTTGATGTTCCTGCGCTGCTGCGCCTTCGCCTGGTCATACTCGGCAGGTATATTTACATAAGTATATACATGTTTGTACATGTACTCTGCAACACAATCTGACAACGCACGTTTGACGCAGTCGGGGAGCCAAGCCACAAACCACAAACCAGGAAGGTTGTTTGGGAACCAGACTGAACGGATTGACGTCAATGAGGGCGCTCTTCTTACACATGGTTTATTTAGAAGAAGCACGAGATGTGAAAATTTCGCTGATTGTACGCCGAAGGCACAAGTAAATTCAATGGACATTTTGCATGAATTTAGGTGACGCTTTTACAGCTTTTCACTCATAAACTCACAGGCCATTTACCAAGGATAATCTGAGATCGTATCTTCGTGGTGGACGGGGTTCACAACAGCGGGAAAAAATGAAGCTCTCTGACTCTGTGATGCGAAGCTTTCGCGTGGCCAAATTGTACAAGGACCAGAACACTGAACGCATCAACAGCATTGACTTCTCGCACAATGGAGAGACAATGATATCCAGTAGCGAAGATGACTCTATTGTCATTTATGACTGCTTGGAGGGAAAGTATGTGTTAGACCGGGTACACTGAATTTTAATTTGGCCGTGGATAATATGTTCAATGGCATTTCGCAATAGTGCACGCCTCCAAGAGTTTGCAATGCATTGACCAATCACAACGTAAAATTAAATATCTGTCAACCCTTTCCAAATGTACATTGGGTCAACAGTTTTTGCCTATTGTGATTGGTCAATGCATTGCAAACTCTTGGAAGCACACTATTGTGAATCGCCCCTATTACTTTTTCATGGCATGATTTAATGCACGGAGCATGTTAACCTTGTGGGGAATGTTGGAGACAACATGGAGTTGTGATTTACAGTTCTGGAACAAGCTGAAGATTTTGAGAGATCTAACACCACTATGTCTACTTCTAGTCCAAGCAGCCAAGTAACTTGGACCCTACAAATNCTAACCCCCTAAGGGTCGCTGGCCCTAACCTTCCCCATTCACACAAACTGTTTTTTGGCAAAATTAAATAGAGCTATGCAATGCCTACAACTTGTTGTAATCATTTTTTCCAAATCGGCTGAAATCAGCCAAATCACGAAGATTTTCCCAGAGGCATATTTCAACTAAACCACATTTTCACGAAGAGACAAATTTTACTCTGGAAATGTGTACAAATGTAACAATTTTGCAGCTGGCACGCACTATAGCAAGATAGCAAGCATTTTCATGAATAGACAAAAGTCACATGAATTTTAACATTTTCATGAAGAGGTGAATTTGTTTGTTTACAAAATAAACAATTTTAATTAACATGTGAATATTATTTGGCAGTTTGGCAGAGTTGTGTTGTTTCAAATCCCCTCTTTCATGCAGTAGTATTACTAAAGTCAAAGGCATGGTAAATAAGCATTTGAACGAGAGACAAACTTCACATACGATTTTCTCAAAAAGTCTTATTCTAGTGATATCAAAAAATTTGTCCCTTTGTGAAATGAACGGTGAAATTTTATTTTCAAAAAAGTTCTAAAAAAAAAGATAGTTGAAATAATACCACCCAAAAAAATCTCAAGGAAAAAAAAAGTGAGCAAAATTATTTCAAAAACCCAGTTCCCTTTTTTTTCATTGGACCAGGTCGCTTGGAAAGAAAACCTACATCTTTCTCTGAAACTTTCACTTCATATATCTTGTGCATAAAAAAGCTTTCTGTCCCTTTCAATTTTTATGTACGTTTGTAGAAAGCCGAAGTTATTCCTAGTACATGATCGCGCTTGTATGAACTAAACTACGCATGGAACTACACGGCGTACGCATACATGTACCTACATGTACAGGTCTCAGTCATCAGCCATAATGGCTGACGAATGAGACTTTTAGGTTTGCCATAATGGCTGGTGAACAAACCTTGTAGGTTTTTGTAATGGACAGGATCAAAGGTTGATGGGTTTTGCACTTGAGCAAGCATTGCTCGTCATGCTTAGTAGAGTTTGATCTTCTAGTTGCATTATGTAGAACGTACTAGCTTGATCATTGGAGAAAAGGGGATGTACAAGTATTTTGCTAAAGGGTCATTCCATATGAACTCAACCAAAGTCTGGAAATCGTCCATGGTCACCTGTTCAGATTTGGCTCAGTTTTTAAAAAAAGAAGCAGCAAATTCATGGTGAGTGACCACATGTAAAGCTGTAGGCTTCAACTCCCAAGGGTTCCTAAGATAAACCTCCCCCAAACTGAGAGTCACGCCCACTGTTTACATGCGCGAACCAAGAAAAATAATTTGCAACGGGTTTTGGAGGCCAAATCTCCAAAACGAATCAGAAATAGATTTGGCATGTAGTTGCCTTTAAAAAAAATATTGGAGTGAAATCTGAGTCGGTCACCATGGCACCTCTTGTTGAGTTCATATGGAATGATCTTAAAACAGGTCAGTGCAAGCAGTCTTTACTGTTGGAATGTACATACTGCATGTATCAGTACCTACTAGTATGTGTATGCATACTTGAGTGCGTGAAATTAGGCTAAAAATGTGGTCTGACAAACACTACCACAAACAATTTTGTTCAGCAATTACCAGCTTTTGATTTAACAGAATACACTCTTTCCCTGTTTCAGTGCCCCTCCTGGTCTCTCCTCGGCGCATCTGAAGCCGTTTGGTTGCCTCTTTTTATCTTAAGATAGTATTTTAGTGTGCTATCTCTTTCAAGACGCACTTCCGTCATACTGTAATACACTCAGGCTTTAACCTCGTGTAAGGTCTAGGCAATAGACCTCACCACTGTTTAGCTGTCAAGGAAAAGAAAAGGCAGTTGTCAGCGGGACTTCGAAACCGGCGAGGCCTCCACTTAGACAGCTGTGGGGTCGCTGGATGGCACTATTTGAAAAAAGTTAAAAGGCTCCTTGATTGATGCCACGATATAACGTCTTTCAGGATGATGTTTTTGTATGTGATTACCCTGATGTGCTTGAAGTCTTTTGGAGGGTTGAATAATAATGAATAATTTAACATGTCCAAATTTTAGCATTCCAGAGGGGCACAGAATAACTGGTCCACAGAATGAACGCGTGCGTCATTGCTTAAAGGAACTTGGTTCATTTATTCCATCCTTAGACCTAAGAAGACACTGTACAGTAAAAAGTATGGTGTGGACATGATCCGATTCACGCATGCGGTCAACACGGTCATCTACACCTCCAATAAAATGGACGACAACATCCGATATCTCTCGCTGCACGACAATAAGTATATCAGATACTTCTCTGGGCATACTAAGAAGTAAGTTTGAAATGTCTGACTTGTGGCCTCACCTCCTAAAACCTTTAGGCAGCAAGCTGTGAAAGCAGCATTGTGCAAGCACAGAGGGTTTGCATGGCTGCCATCTTGTAGGCCAGTGCTTTTGTTACACAGGGTATCCACACAGGAGGTTTCCCTGTGGAACAAAAGAACTGCCCTGCAAGATGGCTACCGTGCAAAGCCTGTATTGTAACTGTTGCAAACTGTGCTAAACTATAAAATGCTTAACCGCCAATGTTCTTGAAGCTTCTGCATGCATTTTGGAATCTTATTGTCGTAACACCTTTTGTTGAGGTTAGTCTATTCCCAGAGGTTGCTGTGGTGTTTAGTGAGCCAACTGCTTGTGGTCTGTCCTGAAATGGGCTAAGGATTCATATGCAGAAAATGTACATATGTACTTCACAGTGGCGTAGCTAGGATTTCACTAGTGGGAGGGCACAAAGGGGCACCGGCATCTTATGGTGGGGGGGGCACAAGCTTTCAGTGATGTGTTTTTTGGGGGCAAGTTTTTGTTACCCTTGTTCAATATCCATTCATCCATTTTTTTCAGGGGGGAGGGGGGCACCTGGGGTACCCCCCGTGGCTGGTCACGGGGAGAGGGGGAGTTGGATGGGGAGGCTTGTACCCCACTTGTACTTCATACAACATTTGTTCAGTACTTATTTTTGTTTTGCCTTGCCATGTAAAAATTACAATACCGCTGTAACTGAAACTCAACTGAAACTGATGAAGTTGGTTCATGCTCTTGTCCGATGTATGAGGAGTCCATTTACATGTACAACATATGTACCTTTAATAATGCTAGTCATCACTCACTGTATACTCGCTCAGAAATAAGAAACTTGTAAAAACAATCCATGTTTGAGGTGTGTTTGTGATATGTATGTATTTTGGGTTGTATGTTTAAACTCTTGTCTTTTCAGAGTGGTCAGTTTAAGCATGTCTCCGATAGATGATAGTTTCCTGTCCGGATCATTGGACAAGACTGTCAGACTGTGGGACCTCAGGTCACCAAATTGCCAGGTAAAAAAAAGACGTGCATAACTGAGAGTGAAAACTTTCATCAGAATGATAAATATTTTAGAACAATATTTTTTTTTACTATTTCATGATTGGTGTGTACTTTCAAGCCTCACTTTCAGTTTTTTTCTCTACATCTACAACAGGCTTCAAGCACTCACCATCTTCATCTAAGCTATGTTTGATGACATTTGAAATTATTAATCAGAGTGGATCATGCTAAATTGTCACAAAGTTTCCTTTTATTGCTTTCATTTCTACCCTCGAGTTGAAAACTGGAAGAGGTAACCTCGCTTTCAATTTCAATATGGCCGACCCATGTATCGGGTATACGTTATTGAAATCTGAAAGGTAGTGTAAATTTGCTTAAATTCATTTCAGCAATTTTCACCGCTTTTTGTCCTTGAAATATTTTATATTGTCTAGGGTCTAATGCATTTACAAGGCAGACCAGTTGCGTCCTTCGATCCAGAAGGTCTTATCTTTGCCTGTGGCGTCAACTCGGAACTTATCAAACTGTACGACTTACGGTCGTTTGACAAGGTACGCTTCCCATCAGACTCGTTCCATTTTGAAATATTTCATCATTTTTTTGTACAACCGATGTAGTCCTGTTTTTATTCTAGATTTTTAGTCTAGGTCTAGATATATGTGATTACTAATCCACCATGAGCAGAAGCACCCCTTCATCAGTTGAAAAGGGCCATGCTGGTAGGGGGTGTTCATTTTGTTGGTAGTGATGACGCCACCCATGATGCAGTGCATGCACTTCATAGTTGATTGTTGACCCCTGCACCCCGGCAACCGTCGACAGCCGCAGCTTTGTGTGAGGATTAGTGCATACCACACATACATTCTATTCATAGTGCACGTGCGATTTCAATGTGGGCCTGCTGCCGGACAGGGCTTTGCATACCGGGCATACTGCATCTTAGCAGTTGCGGTCAAAAGAATCCCGGCGTTAAGGGGGTTAACCAGCAAGACTGGCGAAGTGCAGCTCACACAGAAGGTACCTCCATTGCTAGGAAAACGATGCCCTCTCTTGGTCCCACTTTGGGTGGATGAGTCTGAGTGATTTATGCCTGGGTCAGTGGTTCAGATTCATGTCAAGAAATTAGGCTGCATTTGACATTTTTTGGAGTTTACCTTTATTCCCCGGAGCCTTCCTGCAACCATCTTCTTGCAGGAAAATTATTGCACACTCTTTGTGTATGTATTTCAAGTTTAATAGGCTTCAGTCTTTGTCTGGCTCTGCCCTCCTCAATCTTGCAAAATCTTCTAAAACCTGGCTGATTTTGCAGGAACTCGGACTGCTAGGGTCAGAAGACATACATAGCACTCCGCTGTTTAAAAAACCTACTTGCAGGAGACATTTCTAGGAAGGTTGAGCATTAGCTAGGTTTTGCTTCGGTCCAAAACCTCCTAGTTTTTTTTTTTGTTAAAACGTGAAGATAATGGAAACCTTATTAAACTGAACTACTTTGTGATACCACACTGGTCACTAGTCACAGATTGCTGAGTCGGCGTCCCAATCCCCCTCCTAGCAAATTAGCAAATAATTTCAAAGCAAGAAAACTCTCCGAAAGTGATCAGGTTTTGACTTTAAACAAATCTTTGCGTGGCATTTTTTTGGCACAGCTGGAAAATTGTTTATGCCCGTGTTATATTAAGATCCATTAATGCGGACCCTGGTTCTGTTGTTGAATCTCTCGTCTTGTGTACTAATGGCATTTGCTTTGTAATCCCTTCGTTTTTCCTCCAGACAAATTCTGTAGTTGATACTTCCTTTATAGAACAAAGACCAAAGTGAATTTCACTTCCTTATTGCCTCACACCTTCCTGTTACCTCATGACTTATGTGCAGCTGAAGTGCTGCCGATAGGTCCTGGTTTTGGGGTGAGGGGCCACCGTGGTATCATGTGACCAGTGTTTCTCTTTGAAACGTTGGAATCGGTAAAGGGTTGGATAGCGACAGACACCTACTGTTTTGAGCCCAGAAGATTAAAGTTTATAATGGCTTGCTTCTTGATGATAATGAGATGACTGTTTAAATTCTTTCAAAGGGTGACCTGCTGGAAGTGCTAGTGATACATGTATTTATTTGAGGTCCATGTGTTAAAGGATTGGATGGAAAAGTTAGAGAAAAAAAGTTGAATATTATCTTTCTTTTTCAAAAATATGATTGAAAGTTGCCATCCTTAGATATCACTAAAAGATTACAGTCTTTCGTCTTGCCATTCAGAGGCCTAGGCAACTTCGGAAACATTCTGGGGTACATCAATGGTCTGTTTCCTGTGTCTCCTTCAGGGTCCCTTCACGACCTTCAGGCTCCAGCAAGATCGGGACTGCGACTGGACGCAGCTGAAGTTCAGCGCCGACGGCAAGCTGATCCTGATATCCACCAACGGCGCGGTCATCCGGCTGGTGGATGCGTTTAGCGGACAGCCCAAGCAGACATTCATGGTGAGCAATTGTTGGATCTTTTTTGGCCAGATTCAGTTTACTGGTCAGGGAAATCCCAGCATGGCACCACAAGGTTATTCAACAAGATTTCCAATCATTTCAACCGGAAAAAAACAACTTTTAGCTCAATTCACTGTAAAGGTAATTTTGATGAACAAATAGCAATAAGTGTAATTTTAAAAATGCGAAAATGAAACTTTAAAACTTGTTATCATTGAAAACTGTGAGCCAGCATTCCCCAGATAGATAAGACTTGTAATATGAGGAATATAAAAAACTTGGTGAACCAGTAGTAAGACATCTGTACTAGCGAGTAAGGGGCCATGGATCTGAGCCCCACCTAGTGTGTGAACTTCGTTCACAAACTCTAAGAAAGCACTGAGGATGTGTGGTGCTTATAAGTTACATTTGTAAAGGGTGAAGCGTAAAATTAAAGTTTATAAGACTAGAATAGAAGACAGTCATAATTTCCAACCATCTGTGGATGGGTAAGTTTAATACTTACATTCTCAGATTGGCTGTTAGTTTCAGTTGAAAGGGAAATAAAAGTGCAGTTTTGTCAGTATTCCTTGTGTGCAAGCGTTTGGTCTCATAGAAACCAAAACTTTATTTCCTGGCTATCTAAATCTTGTTAAGATGGGAATTGCCAATAACTGAAACATGTCACTTGCAGACCTGCACGGTCATTACATTCAGACATGTCCATGATGAAAGGTGGAACAGGCTTTTTATAGGCTTAGTGAGTCCTGTTTTTGCCCTTGTGAGTCCGTTACTTGTCCTTTTACGTCCATTTTGGAAATCTTACAAAGCTGTTTCAGAATGATTGATGTGGCTGTTTTTGGTGTGGAATTTTGTTTTGACATGATCTATATTAAACACCTGGTCTGTTGATTTATTAAGATGCAGATCTCGTAAGTCTTAAATTTGATTCTGCAGGGTCATCTCAATCAGAAGGGGTTGTTGTTAGAGTCGTCGTTCAGTCCAGATGCAAAATATGTCTTGTCAGGTAAGCCGAGAAAAGACTGACCTGTGACATAATGTTTTGGGTCTTATGCAGTGTGAACGATTTAAAATGAGTGTTTCTTTACCATGAAGTTGATCAAAGTTCACATTTTGCATTCCAACCAACCTGTAATTGTTTAGATGTACTAGGGTTCCCAAGTCTCTCTAGTGACAATTTCAGAAATCCTTTCTCCAGCAGCTTTCAGACAGCATGCTTGCGTTGTTCACAGTGAAAGTGTTCACTTTGTTCATTCCTTAGGGTCCCAGGATGGCAAAGTGCATGTCTGGAATGCAGAGAACGGCACCAAGACGGCCGTGCTGGAGTCCAAGCACTGCGAGTCGCCCATGCACTGCGTCCAGTTCAACCCCAAATTCATGATGCTGGCCACGGCGGCGCAGCACATGGTATGCACACCAAACCCTGTCGTAACGAAACATCGTCATCTTGGATTGAATCAGTCATTAGTGTCTTTTTGTTATGTCATGGCTATGAGCTGGCTATGTCATATAACATCGAAGTCTTCAGTCTGAAACACCCTGTCATTGTGCCAGACATCTGTCCAGTTGAACTTACTAAGGGCATTAATCACACTCAAATGGTTTTTTTTTTTGGACCAGATGAAGTAATCTGTCAGAAAACGTCAACCACTGAAGGCTGTGCAAAGCTTCACTTTCCTTTTATCCCTCATTCCTTCATTTCCTCATTTTTGCTACAAAACTTCCTGAAACCTCTTAAAATGTAAAATTCACCGCAGTCCTAGAGCCCAATGACACATTCTTTTTTACATGAAATTTGACGGAGTATCAATAACCATATTTAATGTTAGTGGCTGGGCTGTTCCCTTCTGGAATTCAAACCCTTCAAAATTTACACAAAGGTTTGGATGATTTGCTGGATTTAAGAGGAAAGGGCTGGTTACAGTTACTTTACAGAGGGATTGATGCCTCTTGCACAAACCATGGGCTATTAAGGTTCTGCACAGTTGTGGATTTGGCAGGATTCAGAAAGTTGAATTCTCCCATATCGTCCTATTTGGCAGGTTTTGAATTATCTTGGAATGTTGTGGTTGACAGTAGTTTTGTATGTTGTGTTACACAGGCTTTCTGGTTACCAAGCATAGACGAATGAGATCCCCCACAGCGTAATCATTCCCCAGAAGTATTAACGGACAAAGCAAGTGCTGCGTCGTGCTGACTAACTCAGTGTGCTTGTTAAGAGCTGTGTTGAAGTCCCGGCTGCGGACAGCCACACCAAAACCAGAGATGCAAGAACTGTAGGCAATCTCAGGACACCTCACAGGGTTCAACAAGACATTGGAGCATTGCGCTGGAGCGTCCATTTTTCTTGACAGCACAGTGATGTTATTATTTGGGTCGAGATGTATGTACCTCATCGAATCAACCGCCACAGAGTACATCTTCCTTAATGGCCTGTTAAAATTTTTTTATTGGATCGTAGGCTAGAGTTGTAACTGAAGTGAGGTTTGTCACGGTTTTACAAAAGTGAGGGAACTAACTCAGCCTGGCACGGTTTAAAAGTCATGATGAGAATAAGGTCTAATTTAGAGACGGACTATGACACAGTGCATAGGTTTTTTGGTTTTGTTTTCATTTTGTAAAAGTTTTTTAATATATTTGTTTAGTTTTGTGGCTACTGAATTTTATCCCAGCAGTTTCTGGCCTCTGTACAGTGACAAACTTCATCAGAAATCAGATCTTTGTTGTAGTTGGGTACTTTCAAGGAGGGCACCAATTTCTTTGCCAAATATTGAATTGGTTAGGAGGGAAAAAGATGTGGGCCTTGGAGAGTAAATGCACAAAGGTAAAATCCCAAATAAAACGACTTCAGACCGTCACTGTTCAATGGAATTTAATGTTGTGTGATAAAAGTACTCAAAGTACTTGACCGATTACTTTTCTCCGTAAAACTGAAGTTTTACAAAAATGGGAGTGCCTGATCTTACATTTCTTTTGTCATCTTACCTTTGTGCATTTACCATGCATTGCCCTGGTCTCAAGCTTTGTTCCTTCCTAACCAGTTCAATATTTGGCAGTGAATTTTGCACTCAAAGTACTCAATTACAACACTAACGAAAACCAGATGAAGAAAAAACTGTTTCTTTTGCAAGTGGGCAAACCTGTCTACTGACTCATAAAGTATGTGATCAAGGTGAGACTAATAGCAGAACTGGCATACAGTGTACCTGTGAGTGAGCACGTTATGTCATGTGTAAGCCATGTGAAATGTAAATATGTATATGCTAAAACTTTAGCTTAGAAATGACTTGACAGGTGAACAGTGTTGTAAGCAAGGAATAGCATCATTCGCAACACAAGGCTCCAGAGTATACCCATGAAAATGTCAACTATATTGTGAGGCCCTGCGCCAGATGTAAGCGTTTCCTGCATTGTTTATTTAAATCAATCTCGGATGTTGATCCAAGTGTCATGCCAGTTGATTTCAATTTTTAATTTATATGTCTGAGGGGTGCATTTTGGGAAGTTTCTGATGTTGGCATGGGGTGTCACTGCTTGATGTGATGTTGGTGTTTTAGTGATAGAATAGGATGTATTAGTCTGAACGTACATTGTCGGCTCGAGTACATGTACATGAATGGAAAAATTGTGTACAGATGTCTTTATCTTCTGTCAAATACAAAGTTTGTTAGACTCGGTACAAGGAAAAAAAAATCACAATAATTACTCAACGAACTCACATGCTGTGAGAGCAGATATTGTAAGTCTCAGTCCATTTGCATTGACACAGATGGCTTCATCCATGTTATTGCAAAGTTTTGTGTCCTGGAGCTCTTGGTGTGGTACCCTGACTCACCGTAGACATGTGTGCATACGTCATGGGTAGGTCAGCCAAAGGGCAACAGCTTTAACCCAATCGTGCCAACAGATTATACCCAGCAAGAAATGAGACCGAGGGGTACCCCCCACATGTCCAATCC